ATAAGTAAGGAAAGCGGTTGCCCTTATTTACGGAAGCTCATATCTACGCTACTTCCATAAAGCTGAGTCAAGTTAAGTCTAGAAAATTTCTTGCAATCGTTCCCTCCAAAAATTCTTCTTGTCAGAGCGTGTGAAGTTGCCTGCTGATATAACGAGTGGTTACTCGCTTCAGATAATCAGAGACTCCAAGATCCACTCCTCATCTTGTCATCCAACCGTACATTCCTCCCATTTTGACCTACGTCTCTGGAACTTCATTTGCTGCAGTTCGCAAAAACCGATCTTCACATTCTCTGCTGGGTCTGATTGATGAGTTGATGGCTACTCTGATTCTGAAGTACTGACCAAACAGCATGAACCGCACATTCCGGAAGATTGCTTATGCTTTGGCACTTGCAGTCTTCTTGACAGCAACCATCCATTTGCTCCGGTTCTGTCGTCGTGTACGTCCATGCACCCCGATACCAGATCAGACATAATGAACATCTGCTGTCAAATAGAACTGAGAGGAAACTTGATCATTTTTGCACTGATTCGCCTCATAAAGGATTAAGCGTCCTTAAATACTGTAAACAGCTAATTTCGTCAGGAACGAATTCAACGCATTTTGAAAAAAGCGCTGAATTCCTCATCAAAGCAAAAGTGCTAACGATTTAACTCCTGATTCTGTGCTCACCAAAATTTTCAACTGTAAAAACCATGCGATCACTGAATGCCGAACATCACAATACCTTTCGATTCGACAATTAACGGCTTTTCGTGTTTCGCCAACAATCGAATCGTAAAGTAAGGTGATACTGATTCGTAACAGTCATGGAAATTAGTCACCCGCATTGTTTACAGTTGATGAAGGTCAGTACATCAGTTAAAGTAGTTGGTACGTCTTCCGAGGAAGTTACCCTCGAGCACTCAAAAGGTAGACCGGAGCTGTACAGACTCAATTATAACCCAACCGATGCCCACTGGACAATTTTAATGGCAATTTGCTACGACGGTAACTTGAGCGAAAGGACAGAGCGATTCATGAACAAATATAGTGCTGAGACGTTGTGCTTTTCCCAATAGAAATCACGGGTCTTCTGTATAAGAAATGGATCCTACCACAACAGTATATCCCTGAGGTGACGTACCACCTCATTTACACTTGTGGCGACAGTTATGATGGAGAAGCGGGACATAAACTCGAAAAATTTCCAGGATACTGGAATACAATGCCTGCTTAAGTCGAGGTTATGACTCAGCGATGGCAGAGCACAAAACAT